AGAGAGAGAGAGAGAGAGAGAGAGAGAGAGAGAGAGAGAGAGAGAAAGAGAGAGACGCGAGATGTTGGATGTGGTTAATATTTCGTTATTGCGCAACATTTTTTCAAACGTTCAAACACTATAAAATGCTTTTAAGGAGTGGTTGCACGCACAATGTAATTCAGAACGATGTAACATTCGTGTTTTACGAAAACAGTAATAACCACATATATTAATAACACAAAATAAACACTGACACCGTTCCCATGGTTATTAATTTATTACAAGATTGGACGAGTTATCTGTAAATAACTCGCCGGTGTTATTCGTCATTCATCGAAGAAAGAGCAATTTGTTACCGTAACTGTTGCTAACGTAGAGAAATGAACGCCGTTACCACAAGTCGCGTCGCCGACGAGAAAATAACTTGTGGTTATATTATAGATACCGGCTCGTTCAGGGTTATTGTTTATATTAAAGTTAATATATATTAACTGCGGCGTATCTGAGAACTGCGGAGTTACCTGAGAATGACGAAACGTGATCGCCTCGGGCTCATATTAAAGATCGAGAGATACGAGAGAGAGAAAGAGAGAGAGAGACAGACACACACACACACACACACAGAACGGATAATATTTGCATAACATCTCTTATTAATTACTTAGTTATATAAAATCATTATTTTCATGTTACACACGCTTGCGTAATAACAACGTTACGTCATACAATCATATCATAATATCCGTAGACGAAAGACGGAGAGTTACGGTCAATAAGGAGCTTGGTCGCGACCGACTGCTCGGCCGCGCAGATATCGCGCATTATTCGTGCAAATCAATAAAGTATACCTTTTATATAACCAATTAGCGCGAGAGGCGTGATTACATGAAAATCATGATTTCTCCTCGAATGTCGTCACGATCGCGCGGCTGAACTTTCATATCTTTCGGTTAATTGCAGATACGCTACGAAAAGATAAAACGACACGAGATCAATAGATATTCGGAGAAATAATTTTCTTTCCACTTCTCACTGAATCTATTAGCGCGTATGTGTAAAATATTTTACGATCGAGCTCGATTTGTGTATCTAAAATTGTTATCATGGATAATGAATCGTACTCGCCAGCGACGGGGAAGTCATTGATGCTTCGCGATTGATGTTTCTCTGTGAGTATTCGGGAAGAATGAATATCGGCTGTTTTCGTTGAGGAAGTTATTTATGGCTTCGACCTAATAACACTTCGTATCCAACGACCGATTAATTATTTTAATCAGAGCAGGGCTCATTTATCCGATTGCTCGACTCGAATCTCCTGATTTATTCGTTTTTCGAATTTTCGACGTGTCGCGTCGTATTGAGCGAACGAGAGAGAGAGAGAGAGAGAGAGAGAGAGAGAGAGAGAGAGAGAGAGAGAGAGAGAGAGAGAGAGAGAAAAGACTGGTGAACTGTGTGACTCACCGCGCGCGATCACACCCGTTCCCATACATACATCAGATGCATCGGACTGGTATTTCATCTAGCCGCTTATATCGCGTTACGCCCGCGATGGCTATTTGTTTCAAGTGCCCGCCAACACTGTTTTGCGTTTTGCGGGCATTATTAAAATGGGCTATTACACAATTTGCATGGCGACAATGGCATAAGGCGGCGGCGCGCCGGGAAAGGGGCGCCTGTGCGATAAACGGTAATAACGCAATTCCTGATGTGGTGAAGGGTAGGTTTGAGAGGAGAGCGCGGGGGGTGTCCTCCGGGTTCGAGGATGCCTGCCGAGATGGGACAGATCGCGCGAGAACGACTTGGGAGGAAAAAATGTGCCGCTGGAATGTTCCGCTAAAGAGACGAGGAACGTTGACGTCGAAGGATGTAATTATTCCGGCGTGTCCTTTGTCGTCGCGCGCACGCGGTGACTGACGGCGAAGCGTTTTTGTCGCGCGTGTACGTCGCGTCGTGTCGACGACACGACATTTTTCGCCTTGAATGCGGAAGGCACGCATACATACCCGCGGAAGATCGCGTCCTCGCATCCGCATCTGCGATCTCGTTTTCATATCGCGGGGATACGATTAAGATTCTCGCGGGAATTTGAGCTCGCCCGACGGCGACAAGAGCGACGTCCAAGATTGGTGAGAAGCGATTTGTGATCAAACATCGCGACTGCATTACGGTACATTTAAGCAGTACAGATAATGTACCGGTATGTATAATATTTACGGGTACCAGCACGGTGTTCCTTTGTCATTGAAAAATAATTCGAGCGCAAGTTCCCGCGAGCTCGATAAGAGACTGCACCGAGTCCTTTGTCCTGGGATTAAAAGGTTCGCGGACCTCCACGACGGAAATTTTATCCGGTGGATGTCGCCTATGCTTGTCAGCGTATTTACACTGCAAGAATGGCAACGTGACCCGGCCACCTTTCAGAAGGGAACAAATAGTACTCGCGACAAATTGAATACTTCTTGGTGCACTCTTGATGGCGCGAAACCGATCGCGCGTGTATGCACAAGTCCTACGCGAGCCATGCTTTCGCAAACAGCGAGAACAATCGGCACCGCGAATTGCTTGTCGCACGGGCGATACATTGATCTTCTTGTAGGAGCTAAAATGTAACTTTCGGGAAACTAAAGATTCCTCATGAGATAAGACAACAAGAGTCCCGATCAAGTCTCATCAAAAGGTATATCTTCGAAACATTGGGAGGAGGGAGGGGGGACGGGAATCGATTCCCGTAAGTTGTGTATCTTTATATCGGCCGACGAGAAAAAGAAAGAGAGGGCAATAAAAAAGGCCGAATATTTTATCGAAAGACAGGTATATATCGGGTGAGTGCAAAAGTTTCACAGCAGTTCTTACAGATAAGTAGGATGTATAATGTACCAAAAGTAACAGGGAACAATGGTGACTGCCCAAGTAGAATGAGCAAGTCGTTTTTAATAAAACTGCTCGATCCATTTTTCTATCACGAGATCCATCAAAACTTTCTCACTCACGCGATATATAATAATTGTCGCATTCGCCGGAAACGAGCAACGCCGACTCGACGCACAGTCAATTCTCTCTCACCAATTTTATTCATTACTCATCGTTTTAAGTTACAACGCGAAGTGAAACGAGACGGTGCGTATTAGGCTCGTGGTGAGATTGGAAAGTTTCGTTTTCGACTGGAATCCTCGCGTCGGTATCAGCTCGAGCTTTATATCGAAAATTGATGGCCCGAACGTGACTAACGACCAGTGACTCGATATGTTCCCTTAGCCCGATCTCGTTCCTCTCATCTCTTCTCTTCCTGCCACCCTCCCTCCCCCCTCTCCTCTTGCTCTATCATCCCCGCTCGTAAAACGTTTGTCTAGTGACTCGCTTAATTTTATTATCATTTCCCTACGCAACCGTAGCGTTGTTAAATGATCCGAGATGACTCCGTCGAGAGTTAATGCAAGCCCCGTTAACGCAACTCGATATTCTTGGTTATATCGATCGGCAGGACATGCTGCTGCGGGGAGTCGCGGCGCGTATGTCGGATTGTCGTATTTTACAGGATCGAACGAAGCCAGCCGAGAAAACGGGGAAACAGCCGCGATCGGCGCGAGTGGGCGATTTTCGACTCGTATCTCGTTTCTAAAGCAGGCGCCGCAACGAATATAGCTATAGAGAAGATATTCAGAGGTATCGATTGAAATTCGAAATCGTGGCTTGACCTCACCGCTAGAAATGAAATTACGAGCTTTTATTCACCCTAGTTTATTTCGGACGATATTGCGTGCGATAAGTGACCACAGCCGACGGCCGGAAAAATGAAGCCGGTACCGAGGGCGTATCCAGTATAAAAATTGGACCGTCTCGAGAGGAAGCAGTCAGGTCAAAGAAATATCGAGTTTTCTGACAAATAACGCGGCAAATTAAATTCTCGCCGCTGTCACTCGCCGTAGGTTTTCTTCTGCCTCTGCTGACCCGCGACAGTTCGGAGCGATTCGCGAGCAATCTCTCCCCCCCTCCTCGCTTTTTCTAAATGTTTAAGTACTCGGACGATAGAATCCTCAAGACTAATCGGGCTAAAATTGGAGGCTGCTACTCGCTACGTGAGCGAAATCACAAATTTCTTCTAAAACTTCACGCGAGAGATCTCGAATGCATGGCAAATGTAGCACACAGGAGGAGGATTTCACAAGAAAGGAAGACTATTCTCGTGTGCGAACTCTAAATTCGCCAAGGGTAGGAAAATGTGTCGCGGACCAAATAAATCGTCAGTCATGAACAGACGCGAAACACATTCACGCATTTCGATGGCCGATCAAACGGCCTTCGATTAGACTCGCTCGAATCAGTCCTCGCTTGGTCGAAGCGAGACTCCGTATCTGTCCAAACCGATTATCGAAATAAGAAGAACTTAATTCATTCATTCACAACACATATTCCAACTCAAAGCTGCCAAGCTGTCGGCTGAGCCAACCGAGGAGCAGCTTACAGCAGCGATTTTTTCCGCGAGAGTTGAGGGACAAATAAATATCCGGCACGTTCGCGTGGAGAATATTTTATTTATCGCTCGAGCCAATAGTTTCACGCGAGTGCGAACGCGATGCGCGGGAAAAATGTGTCGGTCGTCTCGTTGTAACCACAAATGGGGACTTATTGGCGATCGAACCAGCCGGTCAACGTCGGGTAATCTATCAAGGTAGCGACTTCCCGCGAGTGTCCGGGATGAGCACCTGTGGAATACACGTCCACCGGCGGAAATCCCGGTGGCGGCGGCGGCGGCGGCGGCGGCGGCGGCGGCGGCGGCCGTCGCTCGTCGACGGCTCTCGCGCGAGATTTCGAGTTCGACGCGCGATGAGATATCGCGGTCGTGGGTGGCCGCAGGAATAGAGCAGCGGGTTACACCGTGACCGAGGTACACGAGTACGTTTGATTGGACGAGAATGCCTCGGCGGCGCTCTGCGGCGAGGGTGGGAATAGCCCCGACGCGGGGGTGGGGACCGTGCATGGGGTGAGAGCCGCCAAGTCGCGCGCGGGCTTATATAAACGGGCGGCAAACGCTTCGCCTTCGCAGAGCTGTATCCACCGTCGACAGGACGACGTACCACCGCTGAGCCACGCAGAACCGCTTCTCACACAGCTCCGATCACTTGCCATCCCGGCTCCTACCAGCGCAAAGGTGAGTGTTGCTTGCACCCGGCAGATGCACCCTCCCCGCGTAAGAAGCTCCTTCCGCGTCGATTACAAATCCCGGCACGATTCGTCGTCGCGGCGAGATCGGTCGTTGTTGAATCGCGAGCGACCGAGAGAAAGCACCAACCGGACGCGCTGGATCGAAGGATCCTTGCGAGCACAAGATGATGAGCGACGGAGTCTTTCGCTCTTTCGCTCTTTCGCTCTCGCCGTCGCTGTCGAGACGGGCGTTCGATTGACGAGCAGATCTTTCGCGCGAGAGAGCTTTTTTCCTTCCGCGAGCTGTCCCGGAACGATTTGTCGTCGCGATCGGAGAGATCGTCGGTAACTTTGCGACTGCGAACGGCTGAAAGTACCAACGGGGGAGGAGGCTTGATTTCTCGGCGAGTATTCAGTAATGAGATATTGTTATTCCTCGTTTGATTCGCAGACTGTAGAAACTGTCGTTTGACGGGATTCTGAGATCGATTGGAAAGACGCGTAAAGCTCATTCAGTCGTCCGCTGTTGTTAGCAACAGCGACCTTTCGAGCGCATCGAGCAATATACCCCGAGAATCCCCGCGTTCGCGCGCGATTGTGATCAACACGGCACAAACCGGTGCGCGGCAGATAGAGAAACAGATTTACACTTGATTAGGCAATAATATAACTCGAAGCGCGTTGTCTCGCACAGTAGTGAGACTTCGCGCGCTCCGACTTGGACAGTAGTAAAGTACGTGTCTCTTCGGGCAGTAGTTATCCCCGCGCTTTGTCAGACCGTATAAATCATGGCGAGTACACGTTAATGCTACCCCGTTTCTTGGCACAAGTGCAGCATGTTTGCGCGCATCTCGTTGATTCTAGAGCAAGATAACTTGCAATTCCCTTCGATAGTCGCGTGGAAAATTTATTTTAACCCGCAGGGAAAATTCACGATTAGAAGTAGAATCGCAGTAAATGAAGTAGCGAAGTGCTTTTTTGTGCCTCGGACAGCGAGGATATTACTCATTGAGGTGCTCGAGATCTACTTTGGTCGATATCAATGTGAAAAAAAATTTTGTCTCAAAGATTTTCTCAAAGATGTCATAGAATTAAAACAAGCTAAGCGGCGGGGCGTTTATTCGGGTTCGCATAATAGAACTTCGTTTCCACGCGTCCCTTGTGTAATTCTTAAGCTTGAACTTTGATCTTACCGTGCTTATATAAATCTTTCTGATTCCGAAGAGAAATATTAGAGAAACACGTAAGAACTGAGAGAAAAAGACAACCTATGAAAAAGTGCTTGCTCCTTTTTTGAGCAGTGCACGCGTACGATTTTCTTTCGATCGCACAAGTGCCAAAAATGCGTTTTTGATATCTGTGATATATAAAACAGACAATTGGGCTTGACACTTGGCAGTGTTTTTACTCGGCAGGAACGACCCGAACAGACCCACAGCGGTGTCCGCATGACGAGGGTTGAAACGTGATGGTAGAGAGAAAAAATTTACATAAACTTTGCGTAGCTTCAGTTTCGACGACGAGCGTATTGAGAGGGAACGTCAAACTTCGGAGACAAAGGTTCCAAGTTATTCTCTGGTTAACTTAACTGCGCTAAGTCACGTATCTCTTTCGTCGTAGCGCGCTAAGATATTTCGCAGCTAAAAAGACAGGACAGGAGTCCGTCTGTCATTAGGAAAGTATTTTTTGCATCGGCACGCATCCATGATGAAACGAAGGGCGAGACAGAGGCGCGCTATATGATGGTGACGCGAAGATATCGTGCGGATTAAACGACCACATTGCGAGGATGGTACACGAAATTTCGCAAAGTGCAACTCGTAAATCCGAGCCGAAAACGCGCCGCAGTCTATATATTTAAAAGCTGCATTGTCGAACGCTGCCTCAGTTACAGCGAAATGAGATGGAACGGAGAGAGAGAGAAAGAGAGAGAGAGAGAGAGAGAGAGAGAGAGAGAAACTTGCCCTAATCGAATCGCCGAGTAACGCTACCAATCTACTCGTAAAAATTGTTTACGAGCCGCATCTTCAAACGTAATTAGATATAAAGGCTCGATGCTCGCGCCGGACCGTCGAGCGGACTTACGTTTTTGCTTCCTTCTCGAGAGCGTATAATACGAAAATTCGTTGGCGAGAAATTTCGCGCTGCTTTATTTAATACTAAATGCGAATAAAGACTGTGCCAGAACGGGAGTTTCTCGCGAGATTCCCCGAAAGGAAGATTCTTTTGTTCATTTATTCATTCATTAAAAAGATATTTACTTAATGAGGGAGAGACAAAATCTCAATAGCCTTTTCTAGCATCACTACGTCGGATCTGGGCGATTCGACTAGTTGAAATTAAGTATGGTGTGCAAACAAGGAGAATTCCGCGTTATCGCGCAAAATTCGACGACGGACCAACGTTAACGCATCGCTCCCCCCGTAAAATAGCGTTATCAAGCGCTCACCGCGCGCGCTCGTAACTCGTAGCTTGTGGGCGCGAACCTAAAGGGCGTGAAGCAATACGCGTGTATCCGTAGTAGCGGTAAAAGGGTTAATTGTTGGTACATAAAGCGACCAGCGAGATACGCGCGCCGCAATAGCCAAGAGAGAGAGAGAGAGAGAGAGAGAGAGAGAGAGAGAGAGAGAGAGAGAGAGAGAGAGGAGAGGACGCACGCGGTTTCACACATAGCGCCCTCCACCGGGCGCGCACACAGGCCCGGAAAAAGCCGATGCGCTTATTTAGACACAAAATATGAAGGCATCGGAACCCACACCGCGGCGAACTCATTATGATAATTCGCACAATCGATTAATATCCAATTACAGCCGGCGCGCGCGCCATCGCCGAGCGCGACAGGAATTATGTATACACGCGCTTACGCTCGCAACGGGATTACTCCGCGCGATGTGTATATTCTCGTAATTTCCTCTCTAATTACGATGATCGGCTAATAATGTCGGCTAATCAAGGGCGCGCGCTTTCGAGTTACAAGCGGTTATTCGATTAAATCGCTCCCGGGACAAAAATTGACACTTTTTCAACAGCGCGCGTCGAGACGCGATCGCTTGATGACGATAGGCTGATTACAGGCTGATCATTAGGCGCATTTCATCGAACGATAAACAGTTCGTCGCGATCTTCGCTCACGCGCGTGCATTTTACGCACAGTTATCAGTCGAGACTCACACACATTTGGCATATAGGTTTGCGCGATTTCAACGAGCCTTGTCTTTCGCGAGCGGTAACGTAATCGGCTATGCGAGAATGAGGTGTGCATTCAATCGCGCTGAAGTGGACGTTAATCGTTTAAAAGTTAAAGACAAAAAGACACTTTTTTACGCGTCATTTCTCTACACTGAAACGGTCCAGAACTGGAACGACTGGCCGATGGAATTCAAATATCGAGGAGCTGTTGCGAAGTGGCGAAACTCGCCGCGAAGAGGTCGGAATTTCGGCGGATCGGATTGCGCTGCGGTGACTCTAATAATCGATCGTCAAATATTGACCGACCGTTTGTCCGGCGTGCGGGAATATGCGCGGGCAAATATTTTACGATTGACTTTAGATAGGAACTATACACGCTTGCGGGTATTTACGAAACGATTAGCGACAGTGGCTAGCTGCTACGTTCGGGAAAGGTCGCGTCGCGCCGCGCCGCGCCGTTCCGGCAGGAAATTGTCGAGCTCGAGAATTGGCTCCGGGATTAACGGTGGAAAAGTAAAATGCTGAGCGCACTTTTGCCGACGTTTAAATACGCGAGCTCTTTCGTGAAAGAGCCAGTCGCGATTAATCGCCTCTATAAAAGATGAAAGCGTTCTTGCATCCTTTGTCTCAACGCCGCTACGCCTTCCAGCAGGCACTTTCTTCGCAATTCTAATAATTCGCGATCACGGTAACACACACACACACACATCAAGAGACTACTACTTACTTACCGTTATTATTTTCGAAACGTTATTTCACGGTTTTTTCCGCGTCGGAGATGAGCAGTTCTCTCTCTTGTTACATTCGATTCTATCGTAATCGCGGCGAATCAAACACGGTGGTCGCGCACCGAAGACGACGAGACGTTGCCGGCGTGTTTTTAAAATAATAACATTGGAGGATGGTGAGCGCATGGGCAGCAAATTGTGTGCGGGGCAAAATTCGAAATGCCCGACGAAATGACGCAACGAATAATGTTGTTTCGCCGACGATAAGTTCGCGGCTCCCGTATGAATGGATCCTTAATGGTACCGAGTCCTACCTGTAATCGGAACGCGCTCAAACTTTCGCGCTCAACGAAGCGAAAGCCGCGGGAGCACGTCGCTTGTGAACGCGATATATCCTCGCCGCGGTAAACCATTTAAAATATTTACCCTCAGTCACAGTCGGAACCAGCAGGTGTGTGCTCGTATACATGTACGACACGACGGTTATATATGTGTGTATATATATATATATATATATAGCGTTCATTCTAGAATTTACGTAGCACACCTAAACGTGCTGCCGCCATCGTCGGTCGCCTCGCTCGCGTGTCGTTGATTTATAAAAAATACCTTCATCTAATTTTCCACCTCACGCTCGCCCGAGCGTTATCACAGCGTGTATTTTACACGCATAGTGTTTTCCGATGTGAAAATATACGAAAACGCCGCTGACGAACAGCAGATAATTGACGGCCCTCTACGGTAACACTTAGCACTCGGTACATATTCATTCCGACAGCCGATTACGATTTTTACCGAAATCTCGTGTATTTTTTTCCCCTGTTTTTTCCCGATCAACGCAAACGTATTTCTCTCTCTCTCTCTCTCTCTCTCTCAACGAGAAAGAGAGGAGAGAGAAGAGAGAGAGAGCGGGGGGAGGGGCGGAATTTCGCGTGATTTCGTTTCTAATTTCACTCGATGCGGTAATTTCCGTAAATTTGCACGTCACATGAAAGCTCCGGAGAATAATATTTTCGACCTGCCCAACACCGAGCGCGTTTTTTCCACGCTGTTCGCGAACGATCTCATTCCCGGGCTTACGGCGCCTTTG